GACCATTTAAGCAGAGCAACATAACCTCAAATCTGGGCAGTCCCGTGGAGATCGAACTTTGCTTGTCCGGGCTTTGGAGATCGCACTTTGTTTGCGCGTCGTTTGGAGATCGCACTTTGTCAGTAGGACCCATCGAGGTGCACTGTGGTTGGAGAAGCTTCTCGGGTAGAAATTTACGGCTTTTATACGGCTGCTAGATATTTTGTGATCAAAGTAACGCGCAGGCGTTCGAAAAATACCTTGATTATGTTTGGATTGTGTCAGCCTCGTTTCTCCCATTCGTTCACAGCAGGTCGCAGCAGGGCCACGCTCTGGACTAGCTGTTATTGCCGCGCGTGATCAACAGAGTTCGCTGGAGCGCGACATCACAGTCTTCATCTGGGGTAGGGACCGGCTGAGTCCACGCGGTCGCATACGGACCGCTCCGCTGCAATTCTTTTTCAGTGATGACGGTCTCGCCATGCAGATCCGCTCTTGTCTCGCAAGCGGCAGGTTTGTGGATCGACGCCAGTGGTCTCACTTTTGCTGCTGCGGCCGGCGATGCGGCAGCTCCTTGCCGATATTTTGTCTTTGCCTTTTGGACATCTTTTTAAGGTCGTTTTAAACGACGTCGAAAAGCGGCCGGCCAGAGATTGGCAAAACGTCAACAAAATATCCGAATATTTTGTCGACATCTTGCTGACACAGTCCAAACATAATCCAGGTATTTTTCGAACGCCTGCGCGTTACTTTGATCACAAAATATCTAGCAGCCGTATAAAAGCCGTAAATTTCTACCCGAGAAGCTTCTCTAACCACAGTGCACCGCCTGCACTTCGCCGGGTAGCGCCAGTGGCCAAACCATACGTCGCACGTGACTAAGAGTGAACATTTGCTCTAATTTTCACAAAAATTAAGTCCATTTTTCAACTTAAAACGGCTCTGGAGCCTAAACCAAAAATCGTAGACTGTTTCCGTGACCGCCATTTGAAAGAGCAACCTTTTTTCTATCAAAATACATGGGTTTAAATTTTTTGTGACGCAAGGCAAACGTTTGGTAGGCCTCTAAAGCACTAAAAGCGGCGAAAAGAACACTTTTTTGAGCGTAAAATGGACCCAGTTCCCTTATTATTCGCTCGAAACGCATCCCGTAGGGTTCTTTTGGTCGGCCTGGATCCCGAGAAAAAAAAGTCTCCGGGGGCCACAAGCTAGGACCAACACCGGATGCGCAGGGCTGCAAATACTCCAAAGTTGTATTTTGTTAAAAATTACGTCAAATTTACAACTTTTAGCCATTGTAGCGACCCCTAAATATTATTCGATCGGTCTCAAATTTGGTTTGCGATGGTTTTAGGTCAGAATGAACCCTTTTCCGGGTGTGCCGGTATGGAATTCAAAAAAACGTGCATTTCAATACCCCTTAACGTAAGCTTACAAAGAAAATACTTCGTAATTTACAAACTATTTCTTCGTATAACAAAGTATTTTAGTTTGTTATATGTATGCTCAAAATACTTCGTAAGGTTTTAAGAGTGCGGGTGTACTTTTCTTACCCGAGCTTCGAGTGTACTTTTCTTACCCAACCTACCCCTATTCCGAATCTAGGCAAATACGTGCTGTGCGCTTAATTGTGTGACCTTGGAGGTGCGTGGGCCTTCGTTCTAGAGTACTTTACAGTGCGGGGTGCCCACCTGCAACCCGAAATGACCCAGCTAGTCCTTCAAACACGCGGAGGGACCCGTGCCGCCCAGGTGGCGTCCGTGGGAGGGTGAAACATGCGGTTTTGGGCGGCATTTCGCGTTTTGGTCAAGAACTTACCCTTAGGAAGCATATACTGAGACTTCTGTATTCAGATTCTTAAAGATGGCACTTTTCTGAAGATTTTGAGCTGTCTAGGAGCCCTGTAAGTGTTGCAGCTGGAAATTGGCACAAATGTCAATTTTTTTCGTATTTCCGCCATATGACCAACTTTGGGTGACCGGGTGATTCCCTGCGTAGGGGGTCATTTCAGGTCACCGGGGCCTTGCACCTGAACTGAGGTTGATTGAGTAGCTTGGGCAATTCAAATTTGTTTTACTAAACGAGGACCATGTCCTCATGTGGATAAGTCAATCTAACTTTTGTTTTTCTAGGTTTCGTAAGCTGCTAAAGTGTCGTTTTGTAAGTTCCGTCATGGTCACCAACACCTATAAGACAACATTGCCATGCTGTAGTATATAACTCAGCCACATCAAAAGAAAACTGGCTATTTCACTCTCTTCCCTGACTTATTCTTCGCAAAATTACGGAAGGTGACCTTTGTATCATCACTTGTTGAACCTGAAACAGCCTATGGGAAAATGTCCACCGTGTGACCATGTGACCCATGCTGTTTTCACAACTGACGGTCTACTGGGGTTCCTTTTCGTTTTAGAACCTCGCGACCACTTGGGATCGAAAGAACATAAAAAAACCCTTCCAGAAGCCGGTGCCCGCGGGACCTGGGGCGGTCAAACGACGCTTCCAGGCCGTCAGAATTGTTCAAAACGGTAAGGGTGTAAAAATAGATGTAAATTCCGTTTCGGGCCGTAGCTCCTCCATCTGAGGGAGAAAGTTCCCACAACCTTCGCTGAAAAACGCTATTTTGGATGCTCAAAATGACACCGTCAACAGTTTTTACCTATCTTGTAACCCAGCGGGTCAGGAGACGAAACACTTCGCTTTGTAAATTCCGTAATCCGTAAATTCCGTCATTATTTCTGTAAATTCCGCCGTATTTCATAGGGGGTGAAATTAAAAGTCAAGTTGTAGCGCTGCCACGCTCAGAGGGGTACTGTGGGGTACTATGTATGCCATCTACACCAAATTTAGCCCCTAAAGTTGAACTTTAAAAAAGAACATTTGGTACATCCAAAATGACCCTCTACGCACGGAATCACCCGACCCTAGGTCAATTCCGACGGCAGATTTGGATTCCTTGTTGAATTTTGAGTGGGAGTACCAAGTTTGAACGGAGTCTTGCGATTAGAAAGGAAGTTATAGCCATTTTCGTAAAAACCTACACTAATTTCAGCAAAAATGGTCAAAATGAAAAAATGCGTTTTTAGCCAAACCATGCACCGTAGAGGTCTAATTTTTTGGTGGACGACGTATCTATAGATAGGTAACATTTGACCAAAATTTGGAGCAAATCGGAGGGGGTCGATGTAACGGGATGTAAAAGTAGGATGGAATGACCCTGCTCTGAGTTGGAAGAGTGCAATAACGTTTGAGATTTTAGTTAGCGCAGCCGAAGCGCAGGCTTAACGGCAGCATCGGATTTTCAACCACCCTGTTAAGACCCGCTACCCTGGGAAAAAATTTGAACAAAGTTTTCGCTGACTGGCTGAGTGATCGCAAAGCCAGTTTCTCTACACACTAAATGTCCACTATCTATCCTGGAACGCGACATCACGTTGAACCGAATGTGACAAAATGTTGAGTTCCTTTGAACATTGTGTCACATTCGTTTGGACGTGAATCAGACATAAATTGCCTTATTCACATTCAAAGAAATGTGATTCAATGCTCAAAGGAAGGTAACATTTCATCACATTCGTTTTTAACGTAATGTCACTTTCCTTGAGTTAGATTGTTATGGGACTTTTCCGTCCCATGAGTAATGCACTTTGCAGCACATCCATCGGTGATGCAATCTTGTAATCCACCAGGTAATACAAATTGTCCAACAAAACCTGGTGGACACAAAATTCACCGACGGATGTGCCTAAAATTACATCATTCATGGCACAAAACAACTCTACAAATCTAAGACTACAAATCTTACACGCTACCTGGAGCATGCGTGCAAGCACGCTGTAGCTAGCACATGCCTGCCAAGGGATCCGGACAATTCGTCCCCGAAAATTCGTTCCAAGGACTTTTGGGTCCGCAAACGATTCGCCCCCGGTAAAATTGGTCCCCCTCTCAAATTGGTCCCCAAACGTGTCCCCGGTTTTAGAATGGTCCCAGCCGGGACGGTCCCCATGCCGGACCAAGACATTACCACGAATGTGACGCATGGTACCTCTTGATTTGTGTCGTGTCACATCCAAACGAATGTGACACACGTTCGTTCCAATGTGACATGCCCGAATTGTCACATTCAATCGAACGTGACACCCCATAATCCAACAATCATGGCGTGTCACATTCAAAAGAACAAGAAAAATTGAGCATGTCACATTACGATTACAACGAATGTCACAGTACTACGTGGGTGTCACAATCGTTTTAATTTGACAGTTCTCCAGCTGATTTCACACCCGGAGTAATGTGACAAAGCGGTGCCGTATGTCACATTCGTTCGTCTGTAAATTTTCGCCGTTTGTCACGCCTAAACTAACATCGCCGTTATCACGTGAATACGAACGTGCCGTCACGTTCCTTGGCTACTAGTGTATAAGAGTGTTAGTGTTGTAGATCGCTACGACACTTACCACGAGGCAGACGACATCCTGTGCTACCTGCGCGCCGTCGGCCACAACGTGACGGAAAATATATATAAAAGTCTTTGGCTGCACCTTTTCTTCCTTAAGTTTTGAAGTAAGAAAATGAAATTCTGAAAAACATTATTTAGGGGCAAATTGTCTAGGGTCCAGCCACATTTGGGGACGAACAGTGTGGGGTACCTATTGTCCCGGGGACGAAATAGGGGGTACGAATAGTCCGGGGACCAATTTTCGGGGACGAATTGTCCTAGACCCGCCTGCCAAGCATGCACTTATTAGTGCATACATGACATGTACACGCTACCTGAAGCATATTTAGAGCAGGGAGGGAGTTGCCTGCGTTAGGAAGCGTGGACGTGTGAACGTGGCATGTATTCATCAGAAAGTGCACGCTTGGCAGGCATGCGCTAGCTGGAGCGTCCCATGACATTTAGAGTGGAGTTTAGAATTCGAATAAACCCGACTCTGGCAGACAACTGCCTTGAAATTTAGCCATTCACATTTCACAACCATTTCCACGCAGCAACTCCCAGGGTTGGAACAGCTACTTGCCTCTGTCAAAAGTGCCACTGAGGATGCCACGTGATGCAGCACTTGAAAGACGCTGACGGCATCGGGGTACGCCCCTTCGTTCCAGATTGTGTTCACCCACAGTCCAGCGGCAAATAGGAATACGATTATCTGAAAGAAGCTCATTTTGGAATAAAGGCGTCCTCTTGACACGTCTTTCCTCCCGGCTTCGCACTAGCTTTCTGAGTGAACTCATTTTAAAAACTGTGATAATCTAGGCCAAAGCCGGCCAATACCTTCGACACCTCCTGCATTTTTAAAGCGATAATATTTTATTGCTGCCACGGATGCGATTATTTAAGGAAATCACATTAAGGTAAAAAATCAATTGTGGGTCACATTTTTGAAAATTCCAAATTAAGGCCTTTAATTTTGACCTGGTGACAAAAGTACATGTGGGGCCTTTAACTATGGTCCTTGGACTACGTTTTGCAGCATAGTAGCCCCGTCTATCATCCATATTTACTAAGCTGTGGCTGTTTTAAAAATAGTCTGTTTTGGCCCACAATTGATTTTTGGAACCAGTTGTGGGTCAGCATTGTAGAAAGCTCAAATTTGGATATGATTTGCTTAAATGCGAGAGGAATTCACTTTTGAATTTATTTTTCGGAATCGTGAAAACTGCAGGATCTGTAGCACAATGAATCAATTCTGGGTCATATCAATTGTGGGCCATTTCGTCTTTTTGCTTGTAAATTGACCACTTTTGCAAGATATTTTCTTATTTTTATTAATAAAAGGTCCCTGGTTCTCAATAAACCAAGCAGGCACGTTTTTCACTCAAAGAGGAAAAATACATAAACCGACATAAACTGGCTTATTTCACTGTGAGACAGATGTGAGTAAAACTTCCTGGACTAGAGACGAAATGCATATTCTAGGGCCGCCGGTGTGGTAGACAATCCAACACCACACCCTGTCATCGTGAGGTATTGCTACAGTTTATAATCTATTTCAGTCAGAATATTTAGTCTGTAGGGATTGATTTGACTCCTACAGGGCCGGACTGGCCTCGGGTGCCTAGCCTGCAGTTAGAGAGCGGTCCCATTCCGGGCGCTATGTAAGCCCCGCAATGCCCCCTTCCCAACAAAAAAAGCTTTATGGCGGACTGGAAGTAAGAGCTAGCGTTGTCATTCGGGCCTGTAGCCTAAGCTTTAACAACCTTCGTATCGTAGTACTATATGTGACTGAGCAGAAAAATGGAATTTACTGTGATACATCAGTCATTCAGAAGCGCAGAAAACAAAAAATATAAGAAAAACTACCGCAAAATTCGTCAAAAATAATGGGTCGGGCATGGTAGCGAACGCTACTTTGCCATCACCCGCGCACCATGGCATCGAATGATTTCGGCTGTACTATGGTAAATTTATGTTCCCTGACCTATTATGAACCTAAATCAGCAAGGACGTCCCGTTTTACCTCGTAATAGCTTCACGGTGGCAATTTGAAAAACAAACGATTTTTCGCCTCGTTGGATGGGCGCTTTTTTCACGACTTTTTGAAGGGCCTTCCTTTGAAGCCTGATATGAGCTGTTACAGTCGTCGCTCGGACATACACGCTATTTGGGGAGACAAAGAAAGGTTGGAGGAAGGTCTACCGCGAAATTCAAACCGATTCAATCTCCGTCGGGGTTGCGGTGACCCGTCGAAAAAAATGACCCACAATTGATTCGTGACCCACAATTGATTTTTTACCTTACCCTTTTTATCGCTGATCATTGTATGCAACCGATCAAATTAGAAATATCAGTGCGGTTACGTTTTTCATCGTAAGATAAAGACAACAGAAAACAATATTGTTCTTTGGGGTCTCGGACAACTCGTCCCGACCAACTTGTACCTGGCCCAGTACGTCCCGGGGTCATCCCGTCCCAACCCGTGTGGCCCCCTTCCTAAGTCGTCCCAGTAATTATATATTTTTTTATATATTATTTATTTAATTATTTTTTTTTGTTTCTGCAATTGGTTTTATTTTACGATAGGTCCTGTGATCAACCGCATCGCGTCAACACAGTAAGAAGTTTTCTACCGTTTTCTACGGTGTGTCAACAAAGACAGATCTGCTTTTCGGAGTCCAAACTTGAAACCAAACATCCAGCTACTGCGATAAAGCTTTCATTTTTGGTATGACATTTTCTCATTCTTTCAAGATACACAGGAGGAAGTATCCAATTGAATAATCCACTTGTGCATAAGGAAGGAATGCCAACCTTAAAGCAGATCTGTTCTTGTTGGTGCGTCCTGGAGCACTTCTTTCTTCGTTGGCACGGCCAATTGCCATCAGTTCTTTCGTTTACTTACGAAGGCCCGTCGTAAATTTACGAAGCCCTTCGTAAATTAACAGCAAACTTTGTAAACTTACGATCTTTCTTCATAAATTTACTGTGAACTTTCGTAAATTAACGACGAACTTCCGTTGGTTTACAAAAAGTCCTGTAGGAATGAAACATTTACAGAGCACTTTAGAACATTCCCACAAACCTTCGGAAAATATTCCGCCGTAAATTCATAATATTTTTTTTTTACAGAGTGTGTCACTCCATTCTTTTGTCACTGGTGAAAATCTCACCATGGCGGTTCGGAGCAGGGTCGCCCACGCCGCCCGGGACGGGGGATGTCTCTGGCAGTAGAGCGCCGCGCACCGCGCCAGGTCGCACAAGGCAAAGCGATGCACGGTGCAACACCATCGGTCTATCACCATGCGCGCCAGCCACATGATGTACAAGAAGGCCATGAAGTTGATCGAGGCTGTTGCTGCTGCAATTCGCACGGAAAAACATCCGTGGTCGTGGCGACCGAATCTCGATCGCCACGACCATCTTCTTCGATAGCTTGGGGGACTACCGGATTTCTGATCGTGAGAACCATGTCACCGAGCTGAGGAAAGCTGGCCATCAGAACGACTGTGTTGATTGTGACAACCAAGAATAAGGTATCCTAGAACCGTCGTCCATCAGTTGCAGGGAAGGTATGATTTTAGTGCCTCTTCGAGACGACCAGAAAGTTGGTTGAGAGAACCAACTCATCTGACACTTCAGCCGATATCTCGTTCGTGGGGAATTTCTATGCAACGCTCAGCAAACTCTGTTTCAACTTGGTCTGTGGTCCTCGCAAATGTAGTGTTTCTTACACTGTGATCCAAAACTGGCATCACAATAAAAAATGAATGAGACGGCACGGCGAAGACGCCGCACCGCCGCTCTCTCCCCGAATGAGCAGAAGACAAGTGGTTGGGGATCAAGCCTGAACCTAACCTATTGACCGAACGTAGACGCCAGCGAGAGGCAACATGAAAATGCGTTCTTCTCGACTTCAGTCTAATATTTTGTTCAGAACTTTTAGCCGACGGCTAGAGAACATATTTACCGAGGCAACAGACAACATTATTTGCGAAAATTATTTACTTGAGTAACATAAATCGGAAATACTAATAGGCGAACGGGCACGCCGTCACCAAGCGGCAGGTCCGTGAAACCTCGACTCTCAGAACCGAACTTCCTTGAGCAGAGCGGTCGGTAGTGACGATTGGCCCGGGCCGACCAAGTGACTTGTAAGAGGATAAATACGCTAGTTGGTTGTCTGAATCAAGCCGTTCGATGCCCACAATCACTGTAACGACAACTGAGTACATCCGATCGTGACGACCAACAGCTTTTTTTCCGTGCGTCAGACGATTCACTCACTCACGGAAAGAAATACTAGTACGGCAAATACCGTTCCTGGCTGCAGCAAGAAAGGTGATTTCCAGGGACGTATTTTGAAACCAGGGACCGTTTTCGCCGTACTAGGATTTCTTTCACGCCATGAGTGAATGGAAAACCTGGAACGGTATTTACCATGAGGCTTCGCTGTCTCAAGAACCTTTTCCCCTGATTTTGCAGCACAATGTTTACTAATTTTGAGGGTTTTAAAATCAAAAAATCCACGTTAAAAACAGCTGTTGCATGCAACAAGAAGTCTTTTAAATTTAAGGGAAAATTGCTCGATAGAAAATTATGTGAGCTCACTGCTTATTCGATTCCGACTACAACATCGTATCGCACAAGAAAAGCTATTTCAACGGGAAACCTGAAAATGAGGTTGACTTTCCTAGTGGATCTTTTCGTCTGCTGTGACATGTACAGTTCCATTTTGTTGGCAATTTTTAACCTTTTCAGATGCATCGAACGGATCCCAACATTGCAGAATACTTCCGGCGGAGTCATGCGCGGAATAAAATCATGTAATAATGCAGACGTTGCATGCATAAAGGTCCCAAACTAACGAGAAACGGATTAGGGGGCATTCCCATACTACGTGACCGATTTTAGGCCACTTTTTGACCCCTCCCTACCCCCTTGTGACCTCTAGTGGTATTAGCCTGAACCCCTCCCCACTTTTCACGTAGTATTTCAAAAGTACGCCAATTTCTCGCATTTCGTCGCGTGCGCTTTAAAAACACTCTCATTCGAAGTACGTGACATCTCGTTGAAACGAACGTGGCAAAATGTCACGTTCGTTTGAGCATTGTCACATTCGCTTGAACGTGAACAAGATTTTGGCCGATTCACATCCAAACGAATGTGACACAACGCTCAAAAGAACGTGACACTTTGTCACGTTCGTTTGAGCGTTGTGTCACGTTCCTGGAATGAGAGCGGAATGTGTAACAATGTGATTTGGAAGAAAAATAAAAAAAAACTGTGACAACATTTCACATGGGCGCGGAGAAGGAGTGCGGGGTGTCAAGCCATGCCGTGCCGCAGGAACCGTCACGCCGCGCCGTTACAGCGAGTCGGCGGCGCGTTGAACGCTTGAAATGTTTAATAACTGACGCTTTTGAAATACTACGTGAATTGCCCCACCCCCCCCCCCCCCCCTCCCTCCCTCCCTGTGACCTGAAGTGGTATTTTGAGAAACCCTCCCTCCCCAAAATCGGTCACGTAGTATGGGAATGCCTCCTTAAACATATTTGTACGCGGATGGGTGATTCCGCGCGTACACGGTAAAAACGGAACCTGGTTTTCCCAGGAAGCCAATGGTGAAGGCATAGGCGATTTCCAGGGAGCACCTGGGAAAACCAGGAACCGTTTTTACCGTGTAGGGGGCGTTTTCGTGTCTTCACCCTCCCCAGAGCGAACTTATTCGAGTGCAGTCCATTTATACACTTAAGAATCTTGTTTGGCACTAGAATATCTTGTTCCCTTTGTATACGAACTTTCAAAGCTAACATGTGACGCGGGAGAGGGGCCAAAAGGGTCGATTTTGTAAGTTCCGTCATGTCCATTCGCACCTTACGCCAACTTTGCGGCTCTGTAACCCTTTGTTCCATTCAAATCTTCGAATTCCACACACACCCATCAAATCTCTAACTAATAGTGACTATCTTGCTTGAATTTGAAGATCGTATATTGATTGGAACTGTACTTTCAGAACGCATACTAAATGTCCACCGTACTCCGACTTTTACCTTAGCGGTTTCAAAGTAAGCACCAAAAAAACTACTAGGAGTGCTCCCTGCTCAAAACCATCACCCTATTTAGAATCAGCACGGTCTGTAGACTGTCCCACGAAAAATTCGATGTTTGAAAATGCAACCTCTCACCCCGGACTTAAGTTCCTTATGTAAAAAAAGGACTCCATTATTTTTTTCAGAATTTTTGAACAGAATTTAGAGGTCGCGCATCGGCAAAAACACGTTTTTTGCCATTTTTCTCGAGTTTTTAAAAATGCCCTACCACCACACCACACCCCCACCCCCTCCCCTTAGTTGGACATCTAGTGACCCCGTGACTTCGTTCTGTAGGACACCCGTTCCTCCTGAGCCCATCTAGACCCTCAAATCGGCACCCAAAACGATAAAAATAAGTCGAAAATTTCATAAAGAGCTGCAAAAGTTGTGCAAATGTTGTGTTTTTTGATAATCTGACATCACAGAACGATAGAGCGTGAAAAATTACGTAGGGGTGAAGACAAATGAGCACGCCACACGGTCAGTTTCGGTTACATAAGCGCGAACGTCATAGAACGCCCCCACGAATTCATACATTTCCTGTGCAAAACTTGAAGTGTGGGGCTTTTATTCCTTTTGTGGGATGTCAAGAATCATCTGATGATTGCTTTATATGAAATTTGACGAAATAAAGCTCTGCATGTATTAAAATTACAAACATATGGTGCGGGTCGCTGGTGGTGCCACCTGTCGGTAGCCAGGGGAACTACATCGCCCCCTTTTTCGCGCGCTTTGCCGCGCACACAAAACGAACGCCCTGCGAGCGTTGTTTTGAATCGTCGTTTGTGTTTTGGGATTTTTGTGTGGAATGATGGCGTCCCGACGGAAGACGAGGGTGCAGGCTCACCTACCTTCGAGCTAAGGAAACAGTCATTCATAGACCAGCTAGACTCTCTGTTTGACGTAGCTCATCATGAAGCTACAAGCCAGCACCTACAAGCCAGTGCACCTTCTTCTTCCGTCGGGACGCCATCATTCCACACAATAAATCGGGGGCGTTCTATTTCGCTCGCGCTTATGTAACCGAAACTGACTGTGTGGCGTGCTCACTTGTCTTCACCCCTACGTAATTTTTCACGCTCTATCGTTCTGTGATGTCAGTTTATCAAAAAACACAACATTTGCACAACTTTTGCAGTTTTTATAAAATTTTTTCGACTTATTTTTATCTTTTTGGGGGTGTCGATTTGAGGGTCTATATGGACTCGGGAGGGACGGGTGTCCTACAGAACGACGTCACGGGGTCACTAGAAGTCCTACTAAGGGAGGGGGTGGGGTGGGGTGTGGTGTGGTGGTAGGGAATTTCTAAAAACTCGAAAAAAATGGCAAAAAACGTTTTTTTTGCCGATGCGCGACCTCTAAATTCTGTTAAAAAATTCTGAAAAAATCATGGTTTCCTTTTTTTTGCATAAGGAACTTAAGTCCGGGGTGAGAGGTTGCATTTTCAAACATCGAATTTTTCGTGGGACAGTCTAACGGTCTGTTTACCATATGAACGAGTTTCGGTGGCGAAAAAGTGAGGGGGGTGCACTGTGGGAAAAAATCACAGTAAATCCTGTAGTGATTAGTACAGCTGTCACTATAGTTCAGAGTACAGGATTTACAGTACTTTTTTTACAGGATCTACTGTACTTTGTACGGGATTTACTGTTACCACAGGAGTGGAGTACGGAATATCCTGTACCAGGTACAGTAAATGCTGTAACCAGGCACAGTAAATACTGTGTCCTGAACTACAGTAAATCCCGGCAAAAAAATTAACGGGATTTACTGTGGTTTTTTCGCGCAGTGTGAGTGTGCGAGTGGAAGTTGTGTGTGAAATCGGTGGGTTGTAACAATTGGTGTAATTTCCGTATGCCCCTCTCGCTCCTCGTCTATTGGGTTTTAAAAGACACCCTACACGTAAAAAGATGTGTCTTGACGTCGAACTAGTGTGCCAAACTTTATGGCATATTTCTGTGGCGATATGCAGTTGCAGTGAGCCAGAAACACCTGTTTGTAATTTCCGTCAAGCGTAATTTCCGTCATATTTTCAGTAAATTTCGTCATATTTTATAGGGGGAGAAAACGAAAGTCAACTTTTAGCTCGCCCACGCTCAGAGTGTCTTCCTGGGGTTCAATTGATGCCATCTAGGCCAAATTCCGGCCGAACAAGCAAGATTGATTACTTGACTTTCTAAGGTGGCTAAAACAGCCCCTACGCACGGAATCACCCGGATGGTCTCTTCTTTTCAGGTGTAGCAACAGGTTTTTCTCTTTAAAAGTCACATCCTTTATGATAGGGTCCAAATATAAGCATTCCACCATACCGTTTCAAAATAAT